ATCATCTTGAATAAGTTTGAAAATGATCCTGGAATTATATATATATATATATATATATATATATATATATATTCATGAGCTTCCGATTCTTAGCTATGATTAATTAAAGAGAAATTGATTTTCCTTTATGATCGATTTCATCGCAATACTTCTGCTAAGCTTAGAGAGTAATTATACATTCTTATTGTTCAAAGTAGTGTCCAATAGAGTTATAAATTCCAGTATGATATCTTTAATCATTTCTAAGATACAATGGTTCAGAGTTTAATCTAACAATTGGATAAATGTGCTGTTACACGTTTTGGACAATATTGCTGTTACACCTGCCAGACATACAAAATATATATATATATATATATATATATATATATATATATATATACACACACACGCACAAACACACAGTCGATGAAAAATGGATTGTTTACTACAATGTTTAGCTATAAACTAATTCAGTATAAAACAGAAATGAGCCACTGTTAAACACAACAAACATCGGCTGCGTATCTGGTGGGATGAGAATAGCATTGTGTATTAGGAACTCCTTCCGCAAAATCAAACGTTGGATTCGAACAAGTATTGTTCCTAGTCAGACTTCCGCGACAAAAAATTTTTATATATATATAAAATCAAACGTTGGAAATTTTTGAAAAAACAAAAAAAAACTTAAAGTATTGTTCCTACGTTCAGACTGATTAAAGACAAGACAATATTCATCGACAATTCAAAAATTCTTGGACATAAAAACATATGTTTTTTATATATTTATATTTATATATATATATATATATATATATATATTATACTTTATTTTCCATATTTTTTGTAAAACGTGTTCCGGGTCGTGTAACCTTCATCAGACGAAGAATGGTTATTTACACATATAATTAAAAGGAATTAATTTTTTTTATTATGTTTAACTATTGACTTATGTATTTGGTAATAATTCAAATTTTTCCTGAACTGTCGTAAAAATATTCCGTTGCTTAAGGGACAATAAAAGCAATTAGGATTGGTCAGAGAATGGGGGAATTAATGACGTCTTTGTTCTTATCTTTTATATCCTCTGCGTCTTTTTGAACCTTTTTTTTTACGGTATCCTGAGGAGATTTTATTAAATGACCTCTTAACGATTTAAATTTAAAATAAATTTTTATAAGAACGTCTGAGGATACCGTAAGGTTGAAACAAAGGTAGTGGATTCAACTGATCTCCTGAACACACACACACAATCACACACACACACACACACACACACACACACACACACACACACACACACACACACACACATATGTGTATGTATGTATGTATATATCTTTGTATGTATGTATGTGTGCGTGAAAAATGAATGATATGAAGTATCCGAACAAACATTATGTAAGATGGAATAAATGAAAATCAGTTGGATGTTTCAAATTTTTTTGTTGTTAACATTTCGTCTAGTAAGACATTATTAGAACGAGTTAAAACTTAAGGAAAAATCGTTACTATGGCAACCTTTTCTCTAAGAAACTTATCCCCTGATTTTTAAAGCTAAAAGCTTTACATGTTATTTTTACTTTTTTTTTTACTTTTATTTATTTATTTATTTCACGCATATATTGAGCACTTTGTAATATCACTGTTTCCTAGTCAGATTCAACCATATATATATATATATATATATATATATATATATATGTGTGTGTGTGTGTGTGTGTGTGTGTGTGTGTGTGGAGAGAGAGAGTGAGAGAAATAAATCCAGATATATACATAGATGAATAGATAGATACATAGATAGATAAATAGAAGGAATAAAGTGGGACAAATAGATAGATAGATAGATAGATAGATAGATAGGAATATGCTGGTGTGTGTGTGTATATATATATATATATGTGTATATGTATATATATGTGTCTGTGTGTGTGGGGGGAGAGAGAGAGTGAGAGACAGAAATAAATTCAAATAGATACATAGATAGATAGAAGGAATAAAGTGGGATAGATAGATAGATAGATAAATAGATAGATAGATAGATAGGAATATGCTGGAATATATATATATATATATATATATATATATATATATATATATATATATATATATAATAGAAAAGTTCAGAGCAGATAACATTAGAAAGATTTTAGTGTTCCATGAAAATAAGTGGATACAACGTCTAAAAACATACTATCCAGCCGGGCTAAACCATAAATTTAACAATATAGATAGTACTAATATATAACAGTACAAATCAAACCCAACCCACATTTCACACCCCCACAAGACAGACATGCTTACGGAGATGTTGAGGCCTCACAATTATACACACACACCCACACGAATATACACACTTACACACACCATACTCCCTCCCTCCCTAATGAGCCAAATGATAACACACACCCACAGCAATACACACGCTTACACATATCATACTCACTCACTCCCTAAGAACAAAATAATACACACACAAACACTTAACAGAGACACATCCCCTCTCTAGGACCAATAAAACTGTCAAAATGACCAAGGGAATTCAGAAAAGCATAGATCCATCCAGCTATTATCTCAAATAACAACTTAAAAGTGACTGTTTGACCAACACAAGGAATGTTAAATGATTCATGTTAAAAAGATAAAAAAAATAAAAAAGCAAATGAAAACTACAGACAAAAGTTCATTTTCTCCATCAAGACATCCATTTCTGTAGTTTACTGCTACCAGCAAGCAGAAATATTTCTTCTCCTGATGATGGCCATTTTGGCCGAAACTATATATATATATATATATATATATATATATATATATATATATGTGTGTGTGTGTGTGTGTGTGTGTGTGTGTGTGTGTGTGTGTGTGTATCGGACAATTTATCCATGATTTTGATCCCAATATACAATACATTATTCAAAAATACAATAAGAAATGAAACAAGCAGACCATGTCAGTTCTTTTTAACCAAACTTGTTTGGATGAATATTTGCTTACTAAATATACATAATTAACACTCACTCACTCACTCACATACACACATATATATATTTGTGTGCGCGTGTGTGTATTAATGGTTTATCTAACAATTCATCGAAGAGATTTTAAATAATGCCTCATCATTAATTATTTTAATTAAAAAAAAATTAATTTTAGTTTTCAACATGTAAACTTAGTTTTTACATTTTCCCTTTCGAAGTTTAATTCGGCTTTCCTACACCGAAAACGACAACATGACTCCGCCATATTGCGCACACGGAAATGGCCGTGCAGTGTTTATGTTTCCTTTCGGACCTCAAACTACGCTGCTTTTTGACATTTCGATAACATGTCTTTCTTGATATATGACTACGCGTCGAGAACTCCGTATTCTTCCTTTCCAAAATTGAGATTTTTCTTTCTTTTTATTTTTATGCTATTTTTTTCCCATGACTTTTGTTTTTTTTTTACTTATTGTCTATTGTTGACACCCATTTTCTTCTTCTTCTTCTTCTTCTTCTTCTTCTTCTTCTTATTATTATTATTATTATTATTATTATTATTATTATTATCAACTTCCTTGTTCTTGTTCTTTGTTTATATTTTGCTTGTTTTTTCTTTCTTTCTTTCTTTCTTTTTTCGTTTTGTTTACAAATATCAATTCTCCCCGACGGTGATAACCATCGTCGATTTGTTTTTGTTTTTTTTTTGTTTTTTTTTCTCTTTAAAATTGGTCAAAGACAAAATAAAAGCGAAATTAAATAGAATTAATTATTAAAACAGCTTCTTTTGTCCTTAAAAAGCATTTAAATTTTTTTTTAATTTTCAACGAAACTATTTCTTTGTTTAACTCTATCTTCCAGACACAGAAACAATTCACTTAAAAAAAAAAAAAAAACATTTGAGAATCTCGTATTGCGCATCAATCACAGAAAACAAAATCGTAGAGAAAGAGAGAAAAAAAAAAGGAGTTTTTTGTTCAGAAGTTTAATAAATTTAACATGGGAAAAGTGTCTGAATGAAGAAACTTAATTCTAACTAAAAATTACTACCACTTTCCAATAATAGTTGTAAACTTTAGTATATTAAATACTTATACAAATGTATTAATTATTATGGGACCCACAATTACTTTTCTATATTTTTTTAGAAGTTTAATATTTTTTCTATTTATTTTTTTTTCAATATTTTTATTTTATTTCTTTATTTTCTTACTTTCTTTGCCATATTTCTTTTCCTTAAATGCTATTTATCTTTATTTAAACTTTTCTTTCTTTCTTTTTTACTTTCTGTTTTCTTTCTTTACCCTTCTTTCTTTTTCCTTTCTTGCTTTCTTTCTTTCTTTTATTTCTTATCACCCTTTGTTTTTCTGTATTTCCTTCTTATCATGCTTTCTTTCTTTCTTTCTTTTCTTTCTTTTTTCTTTCACCCTTTCTTTCTTTTTCCTTAAATGTTTTCTGTTTTTCCTTCTTATCATGCTTTCTTTCTTTTCTTTCTTTTCTTTTTTCTTTCTTTTTTCACTTTCTTTCTTTTTTTCCCTTAAATGTTTTTCTGTATTTCCTTCTTTCACGCTTTCTTTCTTTCTTTCTTTCTTTCTTTCTTTCTTTCTTTCTTTTTTCTTTCTTTTCTTTCTTTCTGTATTTCCTTCTTTCTTTCTTTCTTTCTTTCTTTCTTTCTTTCTTTCTTATCCCCCTCTCTTTCTTTTTCCTTAAATGTTTTTTTATTTCCTTCTTTCATGCTTTCTTTTTCTTTCTTTCTTTCTTTCTTTTCTTTTCTTTCTTTTCTTATCACCCTTTCTTTCTTTTCCTTAAATTTTTTCTGTATTTCCTTCTTATCATGCTTTCTTTCTTTCTTTCTTTCTTTCTTTCGTTTTCTTTCTTTCACCCTTTCTTTCTTTTTTTCTTTCTTTTCCCTTAAATGTTTTTCTGTATTTCTTTTACGCTTTCTTTCTTTCTTTCTTTCTTTCTTTCTTTCTTTCTTTCTTTCTTTCTTATCACCCTTTCTTTCTTTTCCCTTAAATGTTTTTTCTGTATTTCCTTCTTATCATGCTTTCTTTCTTTCTTTCTTTCTTTCTTTCTTTCTTTCTTTCTTTCTTATCACCCTTTCTTTCTTTTCCCTTAAATGTTTTTTCTGTATTTCCTTCTTATCATGCTTTCTTTCTTTCTTTCTTTCTTTTCTTTCTTTCTTTCTTTCTTTCTTTCTTTCTTTCTTATCACCCTTTCTTTCTTTTCTTTTTTTTTCTAAATTTCCTTCTTATCACGCTTTCTTTCTTTCTTTCTTTCTTTCTTTCTTTCTTTCTTTCTTTCTTTCTTTCTTTCTTATCACCCTTTCTTTCTTTTCCCTTAAATGTTTTTTCTGTATTTCCTTCTTATCACGCTTTCTTTCTTTCTTTCTTTCTTTCTTTCTTTCTTTCTTTCTTTCTTTCTTTCTTTCTTTCTTTCTTTTCCCTTAAATGTTTTTTCTGTATTTCCTTCTTATCCTTCTTTTCTTTCTTTCTTTCTTTCTTTCTTTCTTTCTTTCTTTCTTTCTTTCTTTCTTTTCTTATTTTCTTTTCCCTTAAATGTTTTTCTTGTCATTTCTTTCTTTCTTTCTTTCTTTTCTTTCTTTCTTTCTTTCTTTCTTTCTTTTTCTTAAATGTTTTTTTTTTCTTTCTTTCTTATCATGCTTTTCTTTCTTTTTCTTTCTTTCTTTTTTTTTTTCTTTCTTTCTTTCTTTCTTTCTTTCTTATCACCCTTTCTTTTTTTTTCTTTTCCCTTAAATGTTTTTCTGTATTTCCTTTTTTTTTTCTTTCTTTCTTTCTTTTTTTCTTCTTTTTTCTTTCTTTCTTTCTTTCTTTTCACCCTTTCTTTCTTTTCCCTTTGTTTTTCTGTATTTCTTCTTATTCTTTCTTTCTTTCTTTCTTTCTTTCTTTCTTTCTTTCTTTCTTTCTTTCTTTCTTTCTTTTTTTTCTTATTTCCTTCTTTCTTTCTTTTCTTTCTTTAAATGTTTTTCTTTCTTTCTTTCTTATCTTTCTTTCTTTCTTTCTTTCTTTCTTTCTTTCTTTCTTTCTTTCTCTTTTTCTTTTTTTTCTAAATGTTTTTCTGTATTTCCTTCTTTCTTTCTTTCTTTCTTTCTTTCTTTCTTTCTTTTTTCTTTCTTTTTCTTTCTTTCTTTGTTTCTTATCACCCTTTCTTTCTTTTCCCTTAAATTTTTTCTGTATTTTTTCTTATCACGCTTTCTTTCTTTCTTTCCTTCTTTCTTTTTTCTTTCTTTTTCTTTTCTTTCTTTCTTTCTTTCTTTCTTTCTTTTCCTTAAATGTTTTTTCTGTATTTCCTTCTTATCACGCTTTCTTTCTTTTTCTTTCTTTCTTTTTCTTTCTTTCTTTTTCTTTCTTTCTTTTCTTAAATGTTTTCTGTATTTCCTTCTTATCACGCTTTCTTTTCACCCTTTCTTTCTTTTCTTTCTTTCCCTTTCTTTCTTTTCCCTTAAATCTGTTTTTTCCTTTTATCTTTCTTTCTTTCTTTCTTTCTTTCTTTCTTTCTTTCTTTCTTTCTTTCTTTTCCCTTAAATGTTTTTTCTGTATTTCCTTCTTATCACGCTTTCTTTCTTTCTTTCTTTCTTTCTTTCTTTCTTTCTTTCTTTCTTTCTTTCTTTCTTTCTCCTAAAATGTTATTCTGTCTTTCTTTCTTTCTTATCACTCTTTCTTTCCTTCTTTTCTTTTATCTAGTTCCTAAAGATCGTATTTTTTAGATAATATTTCAGTAACATACAAAGCTACGATATTCTCTTCCCGACCCATTGTTAGTTCAGTTGCTAACAAAATTGATTCAATGTGTCGTGCGAAACATTTTTTCTTCCCAGAATCTTACATATCTTGCACATCTATAAATCTACCATTTGTCCATGCTTAGAATATTGCTGCCACATATGGTCCAGTGCCCCTGCTATTTACTTTGAGCTCCTTGATAAAATCCAAAGAAGAATCAGCAATATTATTGGTCTTGATCCGGTGACTCGGCTTCAGTTACTTTTCCACTGCCATAAGGTTGTCTCTCTGAGTCTTTTCTATAAATACTTTCATGGTGCATTTACTTCCGATGAAGTCTTAGTTATAGCACCAAGATTTTTTTAATTTAAGCGCAGTACTAGATTGGCATCAAGGTCTCAACAATTTACTGTTGAGCTGGTTAGATGTAACGGTAAGTTCTTTGCTAACAGTTTCATTTCTCGCAATTTTCGTTTGTGGAACTCCCTGTCGGATTCATTCTTTCCAGTCAACTTTAATCTGCAAAAATTTAAATGCAATGTCAATTGCTATCTACTGTCGTCCTGATTAATCTTTTCTCTTTCTGCTCATTATTAATGTTTCTGTTTTTAATTCTTCCATACCCTCCAACTCCTTGTGTCTTAGTGACTTTATTAGCCTTGCACTTGCATGTGGTGGTAACGATTATATATATATATATATTATATATATATATATATATACGTGTGTGTGTGTGTGTGTGTGTGTGTATGTGTGTTTTAGTGGACTCACCAATGTTCCATCTGCTTGTCTGAATCATCTTCAAGAAGCGAGAGCAAGATATAAAAGGTCAGCCAATCTAAGAGTGATCTCATCTAACAATCCTCACACTTACTCCATATGTGGCCTCCTTTGTAAATCACTAGCGGGTCTTAAAAGCCACTTAAGATTATCGCACAAAATTTCATTACTGAATCAATAAGCTGTCAGATCCTCATACGTCGAAACCGACGGGAGAGACCATATATATATATATATATATATATATATATATATATATATATATATAATTATTTATTTAAAAAATTTATAACATAAATATGTTATAAAATCACTACAGAAATATACGTCCTAATTTAGTTTTAACCATTATATTGAAGGGGTGAACAGATGATCTTTTTTTTTTATAAGAAAAGAAGATCTAGAAAAATCATCTGGTTCTCCCCCTTTCCCCTTTAAAATTTATAATTTTAAATAAATAATTATATCTGCTCTACTTTGTATTGAGCACTCTTTTAAGAATAGTAATTGTTGGTTATTGGAATTCATTCTGTATACACCAATTATATACTATATATATATATATATATATATATATATATATATATATATATATATATAATCCAAACGTTACATTTAATCTAATCATTATATTTAACCTAATGATTAAGTTAAAGTGTTAGTAATGTTATATTATGGGATTAGCAATTTAAAAGGTATGAAACATTTGGATTAAACTATCTAAAATAAGACCCGATAACCGAGTTAGGAATCCAAGGGAAGTAACTCGAATGGAAACCAGTATATAGGAGTGGGGTGTAAAAAGCCTTTTTTCATTGGCTGATGCTGACAGACGTATTTCAATAAGAACGGTCGCTCACCTAGCGATGTCTTTCTCTTTCTTTTTGCAATGTCGGGGGCGTAGCACGACGCTATCAAGGAGGTGGCCTGATTCGTCCGGAATCAGGTCGGGGTTGCTCTATGAGCCGATATGATGCAAAACCCGAAATCAATGAAGACCACCTTTGATGCATCTAAAATGTATTATGCAACTATTGCTTTTAATCCATTTCTTATATTTAATCTTACGATTAGATTTAATCTGATGATTACATTTAATTAAATAATTGCATTTAATTGAATGATTACATTTATAATGACAAAAATCTGTTCTTTTCTGCTGATCTATCACTTCTCTGTAGGTTCTTTAGGTAAATAGTCAAATAGTCTTTAAATAGTAAATAGTCTTTAGGTAAATAGTCAAATAGTCTTTAAATAGTAAATAGTCTTTAGTAAATACTCAAATAGTTTTTAAATAGTAAATAGTCTTTAGTAAATACTCAAATAGTCTTTAAATAGTAAATAGTCTTTAGTAAATACTCAAATAGTCTTTATGTATTGAAAGTTGAGATAAAAATGGATTGTCAGTGGTCAGGAATTAATGCAAGTGTAGTTAATATAATAAGTGTAGAGCAGTGAGGAGGCGCACGATCGAAAGAAAAAGTGCTACAAATCGCTGCTATCTGACTGCGTGGAAAAGAGATGGGCATGTCATGTGTTAATTATTGAGGTTGGGTGCTGTGGATTACACGGACGGTCAATCGTTCCCTTTCTTCAGAAGATGGGTATCAATGGTCGGAGCCTAAAGCGTGCTTCACATCATCTCCAGACCACAGTTCAACAGGCATCGAGTTGGATCTGGTCAAGATCCAAAATAAATAAAGTTAAATAAAACCATGCTCGCAACAAAATGCTACATCCGACGTGAAAGACGTCATTAATAAAGTTCGCTACGAGCTCTTTGTGTATTTTAACACAACGATGAAGATTTTAGTTGCAGTTATAAAAAGAAATCACAATAGACTGACAGATATACAAAAATAACACTCTGTACGGTGGTAAAAGCTACTGGTGGCGCCAGGGGTGGCAGTACCGCCTTAGCCACTGAAACTGTGTTACCTCCCCTAATTAGAGGCTGACGAGGGCACGGTATGATACGTTGTATGTAGGGAATTATTATCTCTTGCCTACATAGTTAATATAATAAGTGTAAAACAGTGAGGAGGCGCACGGTCGAAAGAAAAACTGTTACAAATCGCTGCTATCTGACTGCGTGGAAAAGAGATGGACATGTGATGTGTTAATTATTGAGGTTGGGTGCTATGGATTACACGGACGGTCAATAGTTCCTTTTCTTTAGAAAGCGTGCTTCACATCATCTCCAGACCACAGTTCAACAGGCATCGAGTTGGATCTGGTTAAGATCCAAAATAAATGAAGTTAAATAAAACCATTCTCTCGACACAATGCTACATCCGACGTGAAACACATCTGTTTACTTTACATTCGACATCATTAATAACGGTCACTATGACCGCCCTGTCTATTTTAACACCAGGTTAAAAATTTCAGTTGCAGTTGTAAAAAGAAATCGCAAGAGATTGACACGTATACAAAAATAATACCATATCCAGTGGCAAAAGCTACTGGTGGCACCAGAGGTGGCAGTACCACCTTGGCCACCGAAACTATGTTATGTCCCCTGGTTGAAGGCGGACGAGGGAAGAGTATCGCACGTTCTTTCACACGGTGTATGTAGAGAATAGAAAGAGCTGTTATATGATTTATGCAATTGCATTTTTCATTAATTTTACTGTAGAAATACCCTGAAAAAAATATATAAATGCATTAAAAAGAAAGAAAGAAAGAAAGAAAGAAAGAAAGAAAGAAAGAATAAAAAAGAAAGTTTGATTGATTTGATTTTTACGGTGTATCAACCTTTTGCGGGTTATTTAAAACAAGAAAATATTTTTGAATTGTAAAGGAAGAATAATGATTTACTAATACAAATCATACACATTAACCCATAGATGGCGGGGAGAAGAGGTGGATTCATACCTTTCCCAAGGGTATTTGCGCGTAAGTGAATATAGCGAATCCGACTGGAATTGGAACTCAGCTCTCCGAGTGCCAATTCGAAGCCATTATCAATTACACCACCTGCATATCGAAGCTTACAGTCCCTGGTATTCCCAAGCGGTGACCCGAGTTCGACGTTGCTCAACTTCGGTGATCTTGCGAGAACCGGTGTTTCAACGTGATATGGCCGCAAGCCCAAGAAAGAAACAGATTGTTAATAGTCAGAAATTAAAGCAAGTGAAATACATAACATTTTTAGGCCTCTCAGAGTCGGACAATTGCTAGCAGGACTAGTTAGCCATTATTAATACGTAATAAATTGATCATCACTGAGTGTTTCAAACAAAATTTAACATTAAATAACCTAACAATAATTGACAAGTAAAATATATCTAATCAAATTTTGTATGTATTAAGTAAATTCATTTGAAACTAAATTTAATGCAGGAATACGTGTAAAAAGTTTTATTATGGATATGCATTTCAAAAAAAAAAAAAAAAAAGGATTACAGTAGTCAGGAAGTAATACAATTTTTTTTATTCTATGCACCGTTAGTTACATAACGTCCCTCTTTTGAAATTCGCGCCTTGTCCTCATTTTGTCCGTCGCTCACTGGCAAAATTAGCAATACGATTTAGCCTTTTGTGAATCCACATATTATATTTGAAAGAGATGCAATTAAAAAAATAATAAATAAAACAATAAATCTATTCCACTTGTTACTGAAGTTATTTTATAAGTACGCGATTTTAAGGGGGGGGCTGCAAAAATAAAAGAAATACAAAATATATTTAATCCATCAGTTATTGAAGATATCAAATGTACGTGATTTGAAGGAGAATCGAAAGCGACATATTTATACCACCTTGCTATTCATAAAAACAAATATATTGGTGATAAAATTTGATTTTTTTTCATGTAGAATTTGTGTTTTTTCTAAAATGCATGCAGAATTTTTTGAAACTGACAGATTTCGACATTGACTAACCCAAGAAAGGTTGAAATGCCCTAAAACCCATTAACCAATCTTTTCCAATTTCAAAACATTCAGAAGTATGAATGAACCTGCCTGTAAATTCCAATTGTAAAAATAGCAATTGTTTGAAAGTTCAGCTTCTGGTGGCATGTCATATCTCTTCAGGATATAAACAGTCACGGCTCTCCGTAAATTCATTTTCTTTATTATCTATGAACTGCCATGACTCCTTCGCAAAGTTTGTCTGTTTGGAATTCAGAGTTGTTCTTCAGCTAAACTGGCTGCCACCTAAAACTGGAAAAACCGGTCTATACTACTATTTAGTCACCAGGGAGAATATATTCATGCCTTCCCAATGGTATGAGTGTGAAATTAATGCAACAGAGTAGAAAGGAACGTGCCGAATTATTTACTTGGTTTTGCATCGCCTTGTACTCATGGTGTTCTATAATGCAGGCCTATTCATGGTGCAACTAATGGCCAGAACTGGATGCTCAAAATCTCATCGTTCTATTTATGGCAACGTATTTTAGCTTCGGTTTTGTTTTGCAGTAACATGTTTCTACAGTAGTCGCTTGAAGAAATTTAAAGAAATGTTTATTTTTTGCACTTGGAATAACTTTAGTTCACTTAATTGAAATAATTATAATATTTATTTATTTCCTTCGTACTTGCTTACGTTTACTGCAAAAAAAAACATTGTGCGGAACTCACTAAAAATGTAATTTAGGAATTTTAGTGTTGTCAGATGGAAGTTTATGTGACATTTTTCATTTAAAGTTAATTCAACATTTTGCAATTAAAGTTAATTTAATGCTGTTCTCAATAGAATTTGTTATTCATAAAAGCAGATACACAAATGTTAAACTTGAATTTATTTTGCGTATTCTGTATTTATGTTTCTAACTGGCAAAAAGAGCATGTTGAATTTTTATCGCAGTTCTAATATCGAAATTTAACGTTTTACACCGTAAAATTTAAGACAAATTTAAAGCCACAGAAAAAGCAGGATATTCTAACCAAAGAAATAATTTAGTAATTCGATTTTTCGATTTTTTTTCTTCTTACATAAATCCTTTGAGTAAGTTCATTTTTAGTAATGTTTTGTTTTATTTAATATTTAACAGATTTTTTACCCGATTTTATATTTACACTGCGAAACTTACTTAAAAATGCTATTATTACATAAAGTTAATTTAATTATTTTCTGTTCGATATTGCTATTCATAACAAATATATTGGTGATAAAATTTGATTTTTTTATGTAGAATTTGTATTTTTTCTAAAATGTAGGCTGAATTTTAGTTTATTTAATAATTAAAAAAAAAAGAAACAAATGTAATATTTTATACAACAAAACTAATAAAAATGAGTAATGTTGTTTAACTTTTAGCTTTTCTCTGAAAATTTTTTAGATCAAAACATTTTGAAATATACCTCCACATATGGTCCTTAGTTGCACCATGAGTATGCCTGTAGTATAGAAGGCCACTGGTTACCCATAGGTGGTATTATTCTAGATGCTCAGTGCTACCTTATAAAATAATACAGTTATTATGAGGTGTCCTAATATTATTCGTGGTTTTCTGTACTTTACACAAATGCATATTATATATATATATATATATGTGTGTGTGTGTCTGTGTGTCTGTGTGTGCGTGTGTATGTATTTAGCCAGCATTTTTTCATTGATGCATGTATCATTAAATAATATAGACAAGTTTTGTATATTTATTTTAAGTAAATTCCTTTCATATTGTCTTATTAATTTAATAACATTATCATTGAAAGATGAAAGAAAATCACCATATTGATACATGTTTTTTAATCTTATCTATGCTTTCGGCTTATATAAGCCATCATCAAAAATGACAATTACATTTCAATATATTAAACAATACACGGACAAAACAATAATGTTTTTTGTTTTTTGTTTTTTGTTGCATGAAAGATTTTCAAGCAACGACAAACTCGTGTATACTAGACGCGGACGGGAAAATCGCACTGCACCTCGTGACGTCACACATGACCACGCGAGAGTGAAAACGAGAAGTATTAAGTATGTGAAGCCGTTGGTATAAACCAATGGCTTCTGTTACCAATTATAGGCATTAAAAAATATTTGTGGAGATTTCAACTGTTTTATGTATATAGCTTCAAGAAAGTTTAGTTTTTGTTTCTTGTTTTCGTGTTTAAGTATAGTTGTGTTTTCAACGAGGATTTTCCGGAATTGTGTATGTGGCCAGGCATGTTGTTTTAAATGCCTGAATATGTTAGTTATTATTCAAATATATAATCAAGCATCGTGAAAGCGAGTTTGTGGTGTGACCAACATAAATATTATTTAATCTATTGGAGATACAATCTCCCAAAGGGCACTTCAATTTGTAAACTATGTTGGATTTTGCAAATCGCTAACGGGGGAGGAGGAAGAATCATTGCGAATAATTGAGTTGGATATACTAGATTTAATGTAGTATATGATTAACTTAATTTTTCTGCTGGGATCTGTTGTTTTGATATATGAATAATAATTCTAACATAGTGGATAAAAGCAACAAAGATGAGGGCAATAGTCCGAATAATGTAAATAGTATACAGAAGACATCAGTTTAATAATACGTAAATACTTATACACCAAAAGACACTTGTTTAATAATACCTAAATACTTATACACACCAGAAGACACCAGTTTAATAATACATAAATACTTATACACCAGATGACACCAGTTTAATAATAGGAAAATACTTATAGACACCAGAAAACACCGGTTTAATAATACTTATACACCAGAAGACACCGGTTTAATAATACTTAAATATTTATACATCAGAAGACACCAGTTTAATAATACGTAAATACTTATACACCAGAAGACACTAGATAAATAATAGGCAAATACTTATAGACACCAGAAAACACCGGTTTAATAATACTTAAATACTTATACACCAGAAGACACCAGTTTAATAATACTTAAATACTTATACACCAGAAAACACCAGTTTAATAATACCTAAGTACTTATAAAATTTCTTCGTATCGATAGAAAAAATTAAGCATTTTGTTTGGATTTTCCAGGAGAAATAGTGCTAGGAAGCAATGTGATGTCAATAATTTCCTTTCAGAACGTGGCTCTCCAAAACTTCCTCTATTTTATTATTCTAAGTAACTTTTAACTCTTTACCCATTTTTTTTTTATTCTGCCATCCACAGTCACGTTAAGTAGGTAACTAGCTGCTCCCCCTACTTCTTTTGCCTTCAGTATACCCTGTAAGTGTTAAATTCTCGAGGCTCCTTTTTCACATTTTGTGTTCCAAAATTTTCAGCTGTCTCTTTCTGATATACATTTCTTTATAGTTCTTAGTCTCTTTAAGATTTACTTCTGCCAAGTCTATGGTATGGTTGAATCATTTAGGTCATAAAGAAGACAATCTTCTATCAGACTGGCGCTATAAAATCGCAAAGTTACCAAGTAATCAAAACCATGCTACTTGAAAATTTTCTACAGAAAAAACAACAAAAATCGCTAGCATATGCAACTAGAAGAGAAAATAATTATATAATCAAGATTTCGACTTTCTACACTACCTTAAAGAAAAGGTTTGGGAAAAAAAGCCCCCATCACTAATAAAAAGAGCCATAGCAGTTAATGAACTTGAGAAATCTAATTTTCTGAAAAAATATTTTGAGAAAACTTTTTTATAAATTTCAATCGACAGTAATGCTAACTGTTCGGTCAATGAATGCCGAATGTTTCCTGTATGGAAGCGGTAAATTTCGCCATTACCATTATCCTGTTTGTAATTTTCTGCGTTGAAATCTTGCAAATATAAGAACCATAATTATTGTCTGAAACCTAGATACGTTCAAATGGCTTACTTTTCTTCTGATAGAAGTGACACCTCGACTATTTATTATTATTATTATTATTATTATAAATGCATCAAGAGAAATGAGCTAAACAAAATGAAATTCTTCTCTTGCTTTACACAAAGAATCACTTTACCGAATAACGGACGACTCTAGTGTACAAAATGGCGTCAGCGTCAAAATTGCTTGAGGCGGGAAAATGAGGCGGGAAGGCAACAGACGTTATGCCATTAACAAAAGGATTACTACTTTGGCTGCTCGATTATTGTTGCTGGAAAGCACCGACGTAACAGACAAACACTATTATCAATGGAAGTTATAAGCAGGTATGCTTTAGATGAACATGTACTACAATAAAAGATGATCACTCTAGACAAGCGGAATGTCTTCTCATCGATATGATGCAGAATAGATACAACTTGTAATATGTTTGGACACATATTTAAACCCCGGGGATGTGCTACTCCATGAAGGGAATAGTCTGATTATGACAATACAGGAATCTCTTGTTCTGATTTGAAATCAATATCTATTTTTATTATTATTATTGTTGTTGTTGCTGTTGTTATATAAATGTTTCCTTAAGTTAGATCTGTCAACATTCTCAAATCTTTTCCCTTACTCAATACAGGGAGCTTATTTTAATAATAATGTTTTGTGAAGCGTTTCAGTTTTGAAGATTAAATCTTTTTTTTCCATTTATTTATTTATTGTTGCGCAATTCTTCTGGACCGTTCAGATGCCCTTGGTTAATTATGGGATTATTTAGTTTTCAGTTAAAGTGAAAACAACTAATTTTAACCAAATTTTATAGCTGCTGTTCTCTATTGGTTGCTACATGGATTGTAACAAATAAATAAAACTTTTGCTTTCTTTTTATTTTCATCTTATTTTTTTATTCCATACTTATTTTTTCTTCAAGTCCACGTTTCTTTTCTTATTTCGTAATTTCTTTTCTTTCTTTCATTCCGGGTTTTTCTTTTCCCGTAACTGTTATTTATCATTCTATCCTTTTCTTTTATAATTCCATCTGTTCTTTCTTTCTTTGATTCTTTTTTTCGTATTTCGTTTCAGTTTCTTTCCTTTTATATAGTCTTTTTCAACCTTTATCATAGTCATTTCTTTTTTATGCTATGAGTCTTTCTTTTTTTCGTTCTTTCTTTATTTTTATTATTTCCATCCTTTATTACTCTTTTCTTCTTTCTCCGTTATAATTATTCCTTTCTTTCTTTCTTTCTTTCTTTCTTTCTTTCTTTCTTTCTTTCTTTCTTTCTTTCTTTCTTTCTTTCTCTTTGTTATTTTAATCTTTCATTACTCTTTTCTTTCTCCGTTACAATTATTCCTTCCTTCCTTCCTTCCTTCCTTCCTTCCTTCCTTCCTTCCTTCCTTCCTTCCTTCCATCTTCATTACTCTTTTGTTCTTTCTCCGTTACAATTATTCTTTCCTTTCTTCCTTCTTTCTTTCTTTCTTTCTTTCTTTCTTTCTTTCTTTCTTTCTTTCTTTCTTTCATCCTTCATTACTTTTTTTCTTCTATTTCCGTGATACTTACTTCTTTCTTTCTTTCTTTCTTTCTTTCTTTCTTTCTTTCTTTCTCTTTGTTATTTTCATCTTTCATTACTCTTTTCTTCTTTCTCCGTTACAATTATTCCTTCCTTCCTTCCTTCCTTCCTTCCTTCCTTCCTTCCTTCCTTCCTTTCATTTTCATTACTCTTTTCTTCTTTTCTCCGTTACAATTATTCCTTCCTTCCTTCCTTCCTTCCTTCCTTCCTTCCTTCCTTCCTTCCTTCCTTTTCATCTTCATTACTCTTTTCTTCTTTCTCCGTTACAATTATTCCTTCCTTCCTTCCTTCCTTCTTCCTTCCTTCCTTCCTTTCATTTTCATTCTCTTTTGTTCTTTCTCCGTTACAATTATTCCTTCCTTCCTTCCTTCCTTCCTTCCTTCCTTCCCTCCTTCCTTCCTTCCTTTCATCTTCATTACTCTTTTCTTCTTTCTCCGTTACAATTATTCCTTCCTTCCTTCCTTCCTTCCTTCCTTCCTTCCTTCCTTCCTTCCTTTCATTTTCATTCTCTTTTGTTCTTTCTCCGTTACAATGATTCCTTCCTTCCTTCCTTCCTTCCTTTCATCTTCATTACTCTTTTCTTCTTTCTCCGTTACAATTATTCCTTCCTTCCTTCCTTCCTTCCTTCCTTCCTTCCTTCCTTTCATTTTCATTACTCTTTTGTTCTTTCTCCGTTACAATGATTCCTTCCTTCCTTTCATTTTCATTACTCTTTTCTTCTTTCTCCGTTACAATTATTCCTTCCTTCCTTCCTTCCTTCCTTCCTTCCTTCCTTCCTTCCTTCCTTTCATTTTTCATTACTCTTTCTTCTTTCTCCGTTACAATTATTCCTTCCTTCCTTCCTTCCTTCCTTCCTTTCATTTCATTACTCTTTTGTTCTTTCTCGTTTAATGATTCCTTCCTTCCTTCCTTCCTTCCTTCCTTCCTTCCTTCCTTCCTTCCTTCCTTCCTTCCTTTCATTTTCATTACTCTTTTCTTCTTTCTCCGTTACAATTATTCCTTCCTTCCTTCCTTCCTTCCTTCCTTCCTTCCTTCCTTCCTTCCTTCCTTCCTTTCATCTTCATTACTCTTTTCTTCTTTCTCCGTTACAATTATTCCTTCCTTCCTTCCTTCCTTCCTTCCTTTCATTTTCATTACTCTTTTCTTCTTTCTCCGTTACAATTATTCCTTCCTTCCTTCCTTCCTTCCTTCCTTCCTTCCTTCCTTCCTTCCTTCCTTTTTTCATCCTTCATTACTCTTTTCTTCTTTCTCCGTTATAATTATTTCTTTCTTTCTTTCTTTCTTTCTTTCTTTCTCTCTTTCTTTCTTTCTTTCTTTCTTCATTACTCTTTTCTTCTATTTCAGTTGTGATTATTCCATTCATTCATTCATTTTTTCTTTATACGTTTCTTCTCTCTTTCTTTTTCCACAATGTTCCTTTTGAGACTGCTGTCACGTGTTTAACTGATTAGAAATTTGCATAAAAGAACATTAGTTCTCGTGTACGCCAGTGAGTGTATATAATGACAGAGACAATATGGAAATTGGAAGAACACTGCTGCATTTTCATATTCAATGAACTCTTCATATACATATATATATTTTAAGACGTTTTTATGTTTATACATTGTTTTTATAGATACAAATAAACATGAAAATGTCTTAAAATAATTATCGGACTTTGTCCATTTCATAATGTGTGACACACACAAACACACACACACACACACACACACACACACACACACACACACATATATATATATATATATTGCTGATACCCCCTGACGAGTAGATGGACGAGCCCACTTACGAAACTCTAGAATCGGGATGCTGAAGTTAATATCAATCAAATAAGTGACAAACCTTTTCCTTGTGTTAATTCTTTCTCTCTCTCTCTCTCTTTCACTCACTCTCCCTCCCTATATATATATATATATATATATATATATATATATGTGTGTGTGTGTGTGTGTGTGTGTGTATATATATATATCGTTCAAAATATTTCGACTTAATAAATGTCAGTCTGATCAGGAGAGAAAAAGATTCACAAGAAGAAAATGCATTGAAAAGTGCTCTGATCTCACAATTCTCGAAAATAAACCTAAAACAGACACTAATGACTCTAATATATATATATATATATATATATATATATATACACACACACACATATATATATATATATATATATATATATATATATATACACTTTCTGATTGTCGGGTCTGATAAGGTAATTTAGTTTACTGCCCCTCTTATCCTCAAAACTCTCAACACATTTTGCTTACACACAATTTTGTCTTTCATTTTGACCTGAAGAAGCCGAACCCGTTACACGTCACGTTAGTGAAAAGCGTCGTTTAATAGCTGTGTGCGTATACCGGTTGTAAGAACAAAATTGTCCTAATCGTGTAACAGCATAACTGTCCATCACATAAAATTTAATAACTAAAAAAAAAAAAACACTAAACTAATTGTTTTTCTTTATTCCATGTTTTCAGATAAGGCGTTTAGCCATCTTGACAATATTTGTCGTAAGAATCACTGAAAAACACTTTATTCAGGTAGAAAAAGAACAGGTAAAAATCGTTTTGTGTCAACCCCATTGTCTTTCCAACTGAGCAATGGTGAGAGGAAAGAGATCATTCAGGCCTAAGTAATGGTACCATCATTCATACTTTAGCGTTCATCTTCAAGGTTCATTCAAGAATCATCAAAAGAATGGTGAATAAGTTTAAAGAAGAGGGGAAAGTAGAGAAGAAAAATAGGTCACGCCAGGAGGAGGGATCATTTCAACATAGAGCTAAAGAGATCAATTAGAAAATATCCATAAGACGTTTGACACGTGAGAGAGGCGTTTCAGCTATGACAGTCTATAGAGCAGTGAAAAAAAAGTGTTGAAAATGAAATCGTACGTGAACCTATGAGGCAACAGAATGTTAGAAGGTTAGAGAGGGCGAAGATCATCTTGAATAATTTGGAAAATGATCCTGGAATAATATATACATACATATATATATATATATATATATATATATATATATATATATATGAAGAAATATAGTTTTTAAGATGTGCTATATTTACGTGATAAAGTGCTCAATATCAGAGATAGAGCGTATGTAAATATGAATATAAAAGTGAATATTGAAGTCAACACTCAGAATCGTGATGAAAGCGATCATAAACGAAAATGACATGTTCATCAGTAATTAATCATGTCT